CTTTTTTGCTATAATAGATAGATCAGATTTCCAAGTAAGTTGATCGACATTAGTTTGACGTTCCCCTTTCATCGAAATGATACAAAAAAAACCCTAAAATTTTAGAACTTTGCTCTTGTAGCTTTTGATTTATAATGCGCTGATGTAATTGATTAAAAAATCGACAAAGACCGAAATTTGAATTTTCATAAACTATGGACAACAGATCAAATGTGCAGAATGGATAATTTCTTCTGCGTTTTTTTGCTTAATATGTTACTAAGAATGTAAACGCAGCAGCTACAATAAGTTTTTGATTCAGAGAAAGTGATTAATATCATCATGAACAAAACGTCGAAAAGTCTCAGAGCTATAGATAAATAAATAAAATACTAATCTTTAAAGAGGATGACATCATCAGTCATGACTAATATTCTTGGGGGTTTTAACAGTAAAATGTATACAGTATTAAGCAATACAATAAGATCATAAAATATCATACACATACAACACACAATATAAATATAATAACACATTAATTTGCTTTTTTCCAATAAAAATGAATTATTTTACAAAGATAGCAGAGTAACGTACATGATTGTGGTTGTTGTCATATTGATCATTATCATACCTCAGTTTGTATTTTCTTTATAAAATTATTAACGAATAAATTGACTGTTTTTTTTCGAAATTGTCTGAAAAGACTATTCACCGGTCAATAGTTCTAAAACTATTTAATGGAAGCAAAAGTTTTTCCGTACTTTCTGTAAAATAAAACACTTATATACTGGATATTCGGACATAAGCAAGATTATTGTACTCATAGCTATAAAGTAAGTGTATACTAATTTTGAATCGTTAAACGTCTGTGTAAATGATTTTTTGTTGTTGTCTAAAATAACGTTTTATAGTATAATTTATCGCAAATGATTTTTTGTTGTCTAAAATAAGGTCTTATAAGATATTCTGTCGACCATAGTCTGTGTAAATGATTTTTTGTTGTTGTCTAAAATAACGTCTTATAATATAATCTGTCTACCATAGTCTGTGTAAATGATTTTGTGTTGTCTAAAATAATGTTTTATAATATGATCTGTCACCCATAGTCTGTGGAAATGATTTTTGTTGTCTATAATAACATCCTATAATAAAATATGTCGACCATAGTCTGTGTAAATTATTTTTGATTGTTGTCTAAAATAACGTCTCATAATATGATCTCTCTATCATAGTCTGTGTAAATATTTTTTGTTGTTGTCTAAAATAACGTCTTATAATAAGATCTGTCGATCATAGTCTGTGTAAATAATTTTGTTGCTGTCTAAAATAACGTTTTATAATATATTATGTCGCCCATAGTCTGTGTAAATGATTTTTAGTTGTTGTCTAAAATAACGTCTTATAATATGATCTGTCTACAATAGTCTGTGTAAATGATTTTTTGCTGTCTAAAATGACGTCTTATAATAAGATCTATCGATCATAGTCTGTGTAAATAATTTTGTTGTTGTCTAAAATAAAGTTTTATATTATGATCTGTCGACCATAGTCTATGTAAACGTTTTTTGTTATCTAAAATAATGCTTATTATATGGTTTCAAAACAATGTCTTATAATATGATATGTCGCCCATAGTCTACAGTATCAGCAGTTCATCCACATGAACGTGAACGGCAAACACCTGAACAAGACAATAGGCAATATTTATTAGCATAAACGCAACTATAACAATCGTTTAGCTGTATATAAAGAAAACAGTATAATATACATGATTGGCAACTCTATTTAAAAAAGGTTGCATACAAAATTATTTGTAATTGATATTTTCATAATACATCATTTCTAACTTAAGACAATACAGAAATATAAGAACACGTCTTTAGTATTTGTAAAGTTAATAATTGTTGATTGTTTTAACATAAAGATACATTTAGATATGTTTCTCTTTCCTTTTTATATAAATGAGAATGCCACATGAAATGGTTTTCGTCATCAATTTTATTTTGCATACATATTTTACAAAAATCTTTCACTTCTAGCAATTTTATTATATCTCCCTTTCTTGATTTCGATTTTATGAGATAGATCACATTTCCGAGTAAGTTGACCGACATAAGTTTTACGTTCCCCTATCAACGAAATATTACCAAAAATTAAAATTTTAGAAATTTGCTCTTGTAAGTTCCGATTTATAATGCGATGATGTAATTGATTAAACAATGAATTAAAAATTAAATTTGTATTTACACAAACTATGGGCTACAGATCATAGGAGCAGAATGAATAATTTTTTCTGCTTTTGTTTGCTTAACATATTACTAATTATGTAAACGCAGCAGCTAAAATAATGTTTTGATTCTGAGAATGTGATTAATATCATCATGAACCAAACGCCGAAAAGTCACAGAGCTATGAATAATTAATGAAATACTAATTTTTAAAGAGGATGATCTCATCAGTCATGTCTAATCTTCTTGAGGGGTTTAACAGTAAAATGTACAGCTTGACTCAAACTCTAAACTTAAACTATTTTAGATCCCAAAAAAGATATTTTGTCTATTGTTCAGACCAAAATGACGGTTTCAGACTAAACTTCGTTTGCTAGTGTAGGAAAAACTATAAAAATCAGTTCAAAAATGCCTGATTCATCAGATCGACTGAATTTATACTTCTGTTCACATTTAGGTAGTAACATAGCGATCTTTTACTCAATCAGAACGCTTTCAAATGTAAAAACATATCAACTAAATTTATATCTTGTGCTGTAACTCCAATATCGTCCCGCGTTAGGGATAGAATTAATCGCTAACAAAACATCTAATCATTTAATTCGTTTATTGTTTTTTGCATAAATCAGGCTGTTGGTTTTTCTGTTTTGAAAAGTTCCACATTTTATTTGCTGGGGTATGTTATGGTTTCTATACGGTATCAGGTTTACTCATTTTTTGAAGGCCATGCGATGTCCTAAAGCTTACATCGCAGTCATTTGATCTCTGGTGGTAGTTATCTCATTGGCTATCACGCCACATATCCTTATTTTTATATTGACAATAATAGCTGATTAGTTTGGAAGTTGAGGCCCTTCGATTGCGATTTATTGAAATGGATAAATACAGAACGGAAACCAAGGAGAAGAGTTGTTTAAACTTGTGTCCGACCCTATTTGTCGGTTTGAGCAACGAAAATAATAATAAACTAAGACAAGGGGACAATTAAATATTCTGATGAAAAGAGACAACGGCGATTAATTGTCTCACTGGCAATCATACCACATCTCCTTATTTCATAATGCCATAGCAAAAAAGCCCACGATAAAACAAACAACAATAACAAAACATTACACAGAAGACTAAATGTTGTGCCACTCGAACTCCATAAAAACCGCGGATAGCTCAGGTTTAGCATTCAATTGACCCCTGCAGTGAACTCTTGTTAAACTATATAAATGAATCATGGCAAGTGATATGCATCCTACTTTAGCGGAATGATAAATGTCTCTTCTCTAACATCACCAAACAGGGTGATATCCAGTAAAAGGTAAACTTTTTGTGCATCTTATATACGTTTGTATAGTTGAATTATAGTATGGAGTATCGAGATATTTATAAACTTTTAAAGTAAAGAATTTTTTTCACAAAAGAGCCGATTATAGTAGGTTTAAAACATGTGGATCTTTTTGTGCATAAGCATAAATTCCACCGAAAAAAAATCCACAGAAAGAATAAAAGATTTGTGTTTTTAAGCATTTATTTGCATCCTTGCCCCTGGGCAACTTTTTTTTTGTTTTTGAAAAAATAATAAAAAAACGGGCAAATATTTCATCGAAATGAAAGAGAAAGGCGGGTACACCTTTTTAAGTTCATGCGTTTTTGAGTTGACTGCTTTGTCCTTAAAACGTATAAATAAAGGCAACAGTAGTATACCGCTGTTCAATAGTCCTGGTTCGATGAAGCAAAAAATAAATCCGGGTAACAAACTAAAACCGAAGGAAACACATCAACTATAAGAGGAACACAACGGAACATCAGATACATTGAACTACAACAAAACGAAACGCCAACATACATAGAAACGGACTGTAGATAACAACTGCCATATTCCTGACTTGGTACAGGACAGTTAAAGAAAAAAATGGTGGGTTGAACCTGGTTTTATTGCTAGCGAAACTCCCGCATCTATGGAACTGTTAATAATACCGCCAAAATGACACTACTAGGTGACAGGAATACAGTACCAACAAACGCAAAAAACAGTATATTTGATACATCATCTCGCTTCAGATTTGAATATTTTTAAATATTTAGGCTATGCGTTGATATAATAACACTAACAAATATCAGTTCTATGAAAAAAGTATTAGGGTCTTTGAAATACTTTTCCGATGAGTCATAACAACACAGTAGGTGTGTTTGAATAACGAACAAAAACGTTTCGTCCTTCTACAAATATTAAAATGTAAGGTGTATTTCTTACTTGTAATCTATTTTATTTTCGTTCACTCATTTTTCAATATAAAGACAGTCATATTAATTATCTTATAAATGAAATGTACAAAAAAAGTCGAACACACCGTGCTCTAACGCCCTCTTAAATGTTAGATGAAACGCTTTGACGACAGACTTTACAAGTGGATCCGAAAAATTCTTATCTATCATTTTTTTTGTACATAAATTAGGCCGTTAGTTTTCGCGTTTGAATTGTTATACATTTGTCATTTCGGGGCCTTTTATAGCTGACTATGCGGTATTGGCTTTGCTCATATGCTTATGTGTGTATTTTCTAAGGTAATTCGTCTTCAACCTCTGAACATGTTTGAGTCTGCTATTCAATGAAATATTTCATTAAAATTTTCTTAATATTTTTAAAGAATTATGTACCCGTTTGTTGTTTCAATGCTAAACATATGGAAATTTTATAAAAAAAAAAAACATCCACAGCCTTTCCCCGTTTTCTTTTATATTTGACAATTATGTACTTAAGAAAAGAAATGCACCAGCTAAATGTTATTTCATTGCATGTAGAATGACAGATGAAGCAGCACAGACGGATGTATGGGAATTATTTTACCATGCTGGCATCAACGGACGATCTGCATACATTCGACTAATATTTGAAGAACTTGGTATACCCTACAAAGATATGATAAAATGTAGAGAAGATATAATGAAATACTTCTACTCCAAAGATAAACTAACAGGATTTCCTGTACTTTTCCCTCCTGTCATCAGAAAAGGTAAAAGATACGTACATGTACGACACAAAAGCATTTAGAGAATCATCATAAATTATGTAAATAATATGCTCCCACAAACAAACAAAAAAACATAACATTCATGACAAATTTGATCCAAGAAGTTCTAAGACATATATGAATTGATGCAACTTAGAGAGGAAACAAACTGATTCTTGAAAAGAAACACCTTGAGACATACTTATTAACTGTTAATTGGTATCATCGTGGATCAATATAAAGGTGAATTGCTTGCGAAACTGCTTTAAAGTACAGTACGTAATGAAATCAGTGAGTGTCTGAACAGTCTTTGAAAAAGTAAATAATAAAACGTCTGGCAATATTCAATTGAATATTCTTCTAGGTGATATTCAGTTAGGACAGACATCAGTAATATGCAAGTACCTTGGTGAAAAGTATGGACTGGTTCCAGATAATGAGCAAGATAAATGGCGTGCTGACATGATTAACACAGAGCTTCATGACTATTTAGCTCAGGGTAAGAATTCAAAATGTAATTAGATAAATAATTGTAATAAGTTGAAGATTACAGTTACCGTCCTGAAGTTGTTAGGATTGTAACAAATGACGTGAACTTATGACCGTGTAGACAGTACGGTGAAAAACCTTACAGCAATAAACGTAAGACACGCATAATTGTCAGGCATAATATTGGATTTTTTCGACTTCTTTGATATTTTATTATTTTATATGACGTTTCATTATTTTCACCCTATAATATCGTCGCAATAAACATATTGTCTATGTTTCGTTTTGACAAAGATAGAAAAAACTTGATTTTCCCAATTTTCCTAAGGGGTTTATATAAAAGATATTTGTGACAGTTTTAGCGGAAACTTGTCGTTCCCCAAGATTCTAAGTCATTGCGTTTTGTAGTTTTTTTTGGTTTGAAAAATTGAATAATTATGCCTCCTCTTTTAAAGCAATACTTATTAATATCTTTATATCTTTTGGTTTCTAATTCAGGTCGTTTAGCTTTTCACGGAATTCATCCAACTGCGTCTTACTTCACACAAGTAGAGGAGACTAAGCCATATATAGAAAGATTTGCTGGTGAAAGGATTCCAAAATATCTGTCTTATTTTGAATCTGTACTAAAGTACAACAATGGTGGTAAAGGGTAGGTATTATTTGAAAACCACATATCAAGTATTGTTTGGGCACTACATTATATAAACCGTTCATATGTGACGTCACTTTGTGCGTTGATCTCTTTTGCTAACTCGGCTGTGAATTTTTATGTGCTGGTTTTATGTATCCGTTTTTATTCTGTAGTTAGTCACCACTTCGGTGTTATCATGTATATCTATTATATAGTCATTTTTATAAATTAACTGTTTGCAAAAGTATGAATTATTCTAAATACTAAGGATTTTCTTATCCCAGACATATAAAACCTTAGCCGTATTTGGTACAACTTTTAGGAACTTTTGGTCCTCAATGCTCTTCAACTTTGTACTTGTTTTGGCTTTCGAACATTTTTGATCTGAGCGTCACTGGTTAGTCTAATGTGGACGAAACGCGCGTCTTGCGTATTAAATTTTAAACCTGGTACCTTTTGTTAGCTATTGTTCGTATGTTTCTCTGTCCTATATGTTCTCCCATTTATTTGTATTGTAGTCCTGTCATGTAATGTTGTCATTTTAATGTTATATTTAACATTGCCATAAAAATGGCAGGTTGTGCTAGCCACAAAACCAGGTTCAACCCACCATTTTTTTCTTAAAATGTCCCGTACCAAGTCAGGAAAATGGCAATTTTTATATTATAGTTCGTTTCTGTGTGTGTTACATTTTAATGTTGTGTTTCTGTTGTGTCGTAGTTCTCCTCTTATATTTGACGTGTTTCCCTCAGTTTTAGTTTGTAAACCGGATTTGTTTTTTTCTTAATCGATTTATTAATTTCGAACAGCGGTATACTACTGTTGCCTTTATTTAGGTTTGCCAAAAAAAAAAAAAAAAACAAAAAAACAAAAAAACGGTTGAGGTTGTCTAACAGTTAGATGTTCCCCTTCAATCAAAGTTTTTCACTTATTATTGTATATGTTGAAAAAAAGTTATAGTTAAATCAAATAACAAATCTTATCGATCTGTTTTTTCATTTTTTAATATTTTTTAAATTTTACATGTGTAAATGCATACATCTTCCTGACAGGAATATTACTGTTACATTTGTAATCCCGTATTTTATATTGTTTTAGATTTCTGTTTGGTGACAAACTAACTTATGTTGATTTGACACTATTCTGGGTTTTAAAGGCCACGGAAGCAAGTTACCCAGACGCTTGGAAGTGTGCTGATTTTTGCCCTTTATTAAAGTCATTTCGGGATCGGATTGAAAGAAGACCTAATATTGCTGCATATCTCAACTCTGATAGATTTGTACCGCTTGAAAATAATAGCATGATGTGATTAAGAGGCCTTACATGTGATTAAAATGCCGTACGGTGATCACTAGTTGATAATGTCTACGTCAATTTGTCTCAGCTGGAGATTCGTGTCACTTGCAATCATACACATCTTTTTATTCGTATATCCAAGAATCAATTCACAACAAAAGAATACATGTCATCCTTGCTTATGCGGTACACCTGGTATCACACATTCGTGTGTGTGTAACTCTGAAATATCTTATTCTCAGTATTGTCTGATCATTATTGAGGTAATTGATGAAATATTTGCCATTTTGAAAGTTAATATCAGGCGCCCATATTTCATATCTTCTTGCTTTTGCTACCATAGTGTAATTTTGCATATTTTTTTTGGACTAATTTGTATTGGATATGGTCAGATATTCGGTAAATAATCTTAAGAGCTTATGTTATAACTTATTGTACATGATAAATCAAAATAAAGCTTTCTTTGTACTTTGATATTTTAATTGCCCACTTAAAGAGAGGACATCATCTAATGGCGGAATGTGTTGTAAGGTTCTTTTAATACTTCTGACTGCCTGGTATGAATAAAGAAACAAGTCGTCAATAAAGAACACAATTGGTTCCCATGGGAAACGCCAATTGTTGGTTTAAAAAGCACGTCCTCAAAACGTATCAAATATGTTGATAATGTCAGTTTGGAAAACTTTTTGTTTGGATCAGAGCGATTTTTTAAATAAGTACGATTTATCACTACTTAATACAAAATACTTGTTACCTTGTTGGCCATTTTTTAAGGAAACAAAGCAAGACGAAATCTTTGAATTTGTCGTTGAGTTTAGAACGGGGAATACTTGTGTAAAGGGTAGAAAAGTCAAATGTTTTAATACTATAGCAAGGGGAAAGATACTTAGATTGTATATTCGCTAACAGATCTATGGATTTTAAGTATCCACCTCTGATTCATCCCCTAGAGGAGAAGGTAGTTTCACAATAAATTTGAATGAAGTCAGGCTTTGATTGCTGATAAAATTGATGTTTATAATTAAGAAAGGGTTTTTGAGGAGCACTTTGAAGACGCAGCAATATAACGTTGTTTGTAAGGACAATTGTGTAACTTAGGTATCCAATGTAGTAAAGGAAGGAAGATCCAGTTCTTCATCTTTGGTTGAAATTCCAAAGGAATAATTTACATAGAATAGACCTTTGGTTATTTGGGACTTCCTCCTGGTTAAATATCATGGAGGTATATGTTGAGTCTCCAAGTGACTTGTTAATATCTAATTCCTTTATCACACAGTTTATGTAAAGTAATTTACACACAAAAACGATGTTATTTGGGGTTTTATCTGCGGGGACAACACCATATTTGTCATGGAGGTAGAACAGATGCTAAGCAAAATTTGAGTCTTTAAAGATCGATGTAGCATGTGTATTCACAGATCCATTCAGTTTTTTAATTCTAAATTTGTATCAACGACCTCACACCCTAAACCCATTCTGAAAGCGTGTATACGTCTTCATTGTCGCGATTAGCCCATTGATTAGCATACACCTCGATGGAATTCATTAGTATTTTGAAGTTGTACTTCCAGTTTGTGGATTTTTGTATGATTTTTTGGATAACACATTTTGCAGAGAAGTGTAATTGATAATGTTCGGGCGACCAGCGAACAATAATGGGGCCAGTCGTATTGTATATGAATGAGGAGCTCGCACAGGTTGTATCAGGAGGTTAAGACTTGAAATCATCAATATTGAAATCATAAAACACATGTTTGAAATTGAAAATTTTAATGGCAATTGGTTTGTTAGAGATATAAGTTATATTCACACTACAATTTATTAGTTGTCAGCCATTTACAATGCAGGGGTGTCAATCACATACAACTTATGAATTCTACTGTAAATGTTTTGTGAGATATTCATGTTTATGAAGCTTTTCCCGCGGTCCGTGTTTTTCACAATTATCTATAATAGCAGTTTTAATCATTTGAATCTTAATGTTTTGCGCATATTGACATATGGGGAAAAGATTGCAAAATTTCTACCGTTTAATAAATATAATCCTTCATGTCAAAAACTACAATCGCCACAATAAAATTAAAACGCCTGTACTTAGTCAGGAATATGACAGTTGTTTTCCATTCGTTCCGTTGGTTGATGAAGTGTCATGTTTGAATTTGTCAGTTTTAATTGACTTCGCCGTTTTTGAATTTGGAGTTCGGTATTTTTGTAACAGTATATCAGGAGTTCAAAGAACAGCAGTATTTCAAATGGAAACAAAAATGAAAAGAAAAGAAATTTCATTGAAAAATGAAATAAAGAAAACATATAATAAAGTTTGCCATGGAATTGTCAGTTTGTTTTTGACTTATGGGTTTGAATATCTCTTTGGCATCTTTCGCCTCTCTTTTGTAATCAATGTAAACTAAATTGTTTTGTCTACTTCATGCACAATTGAACTGATTTAATATCAGTTATAGAACTTAACATAGTTTTTTTATGCTCTTGTTCCTTTATAGGGATTACATTCAAGGAAAATTCGAATCAAAATTTCAATTACACATCCGCAGGCAATACCTGTATCACCAACAAAACCAACTTAAGATAAATCTGCATTTAACAGTGTTTAATTAACCACACATGTTACTAATTCAGCACTGTAATTAAATCTTTATTTTTATAAATATTGATTTTGTTATCAATAAAATAAAATCCAGCTAAATATTATTGTTATTCACATACGTACATTATCGTTCCTACAATCTTTGGAAACCTTTATTTTTGCATTGTACTAGATCATGTTTATTCCGCATGCGTGTTTCGCCTGGCAGAGTTCTTTGTGTGCATGTCCCGGATAAGAGGGACTGTGGTACAGAGGTTGTCATTTGTTGATGTGTTTCGTACCTGTTTGCGTTTATTGTTTTGTACATAAATCAGACCGTTACTTTTCTCGTTTGAATTGTTGCACATTTGTCATTTCGGGACCTTTTATAGCTACTATGCGGTATTGGTTTTTCAATGTTGAAGGCCGTACAAAAACCTATAGTTAATATATATGTTTTCTGCTCTTTGGTCGGGTTATTGTCTTTTTGACATATTCCCCATTTCCATTCTCAATTTCATTTCGTATTTCTACGTCATTTGGTATCTGGTGGAGAATTGTTTCACAGGCAATCATAGCACATCGTCTTATTTTTATATGCATAAATGCCAATGTGTACTTCCGAAGCGCTTTTCTGGATTTACATTAGGCAGGAACGCTCAATGCTTTTCCTTTAGGGAGTTGAAACCTAAGTGTCTTAATAATTTCTAAATTATCAACGGTTAATTTAAAAAATGGTTGATATAAAATGACTGAATAATAGCCAACGATAAATCTTACGGGGCGATGGATCATATAAATATGATACAGTAAACTACAAAACATAATATATAACCAGTCTTAAAGGGTACAACATCAACAAAAAATGACAATAAACGAACAAATGTAACTATAAATATTTCGGATAACAGATATCCTTCATCAGTATGAGCACGATGTAAAATGAATCAGATCAATCTATTCTGATTATTAAACTATAGCAGTCTTGAATTCTATACAATAAAATAAGTGAAACAGTTTCACCCGAACATCATATGTAGAGACGCTAATAAATTTTTAAAATTTCCAAAAAAACGACTCAAAGACATGCCTAAAATGAAAATAGTAATTAGAGATATGAACTGGCACAACTCTAAAATTCCAAAATGACGTCAGTTAAGATGTTACAACAACTGCGTGTAAATACATTCCCAAAAAATCAGCACTGATCGATATAAGCTGGTAAAATATGTCAAACAGAGGCTGCGTATTAATCATCCCAAATAAATAGCAGTTTTATAATGAAAAAAAAAAATAGTAAATTTGGGCCAAGGTTAAATAATTGGACGTGGATGCGTACTTGTACATCCCTACAAAATGAAAAGAACCCTGGTATTTAAACTAGTAAAATTCAAAAAATTCCAAAAGAATCCTTAAAACTGTAAGAGTCAAGTAAGGAAGCCGGAGTGACCGGAAACAAATGATGTCAGGAAAATGAGTAATGGTAGGGAAAATGAGTGACTCGTTCTATGTTTTTTCATTTATGCCCTCTGGGGAAACTGTCCTTAGCTTTCTTATCCAAAACCTTTCCCGAGCAAGTCTTTCGGCCCTTGACCAACCCTCGTTGTGGTCTATGATTGTGATTGTAAGTTTTTTGAGATCAGCTTGGGCGTGCCCAGGTGATCTCAAATGACGACTTACGGGGAGGTCTGGCTTAAAGGTGTAGTCACTTCGATGACCATTAATGCGTTTGTTGAATGGCTGTTCTGTCTCGCCAATATACTGCATGCCACATCGACACTGAAGAAGGTATACAACATTCTGTGTTTTGCAAGTTACATTACAAAATATAGTGTACACAGACCCAGTGGGGTGGCAAGTAAATGTTTGAGTATTCAGTTTTTGTTGGCAAGTCAGACATCGTCTGATACCACACGACTTGCACCATCCTGCAGTTAAACAGCTTTTATTAGAGGAGACGTCAGCTCTCACAAATAAGCTGACGTCTCCTCTAATAAAAGCTGTCGTGTGGTAACAGACGATGTCTGACTTGCCAACAAATATTGAATACTCAAACATTTACTTGCCACTCCACTGGGTCTGTGTACACTATATTTTGTAATGTAATGTAACTTGCAAAACACAGAATGTTGTATACCTTCTTCAGTGTCGATTTGGCATGCAGTATATTGGCGAGACAGAACAGCCATTCAACAAACGCATGAATGGTCATCGAAGTGACTACACCTGCAAGCACGACCTCCCCGTAAGTCGTCATTTGAGATCACCTGGGCACGCCCAAGCTGATCTCAAAAACCTTACAATCACAATCATAGACCACAACGAGGGTTGGTCAAGGGCCGAAAGACTTGCTCGAGAAAAGTTTTGAATAAGAAAGCTAAGGACAGTTTCCCCAGAGGGCATAAATGAAAAAACATAGAATGAGGCACTCATTTTCCCTACCATTACTCATTTTCCTGACATCATTTGTTTCCTGTCACTCCGGCTTCCTTACTTGACTCTTACAGTTTTAAGGATTCTTTTGGAATTTTTTGAATTTTACTAGTTTAAATACCAGGGTTCTTTTCATTTTGTAGGGATTTACAAGTACGCATCCACGTCCAATTATTAAACCTAAGCCCAAATTTACTATTTTTTTTTTCATTATAAAACTGCTATTTATTTGGAATGATAAATACGCAGCCTCTGTTTGACATATTTTACCAGCTTATATCGATCAGTGCTGTTTTTTTGGGAATGTATTTACAGGCAGTTGTTGTAACATCTTAACTGACGTCATTTTGGAATTTTAGAGTTGTGCCAGTTCATTTCTCTAATTACTATTTTCATTTTAGGCATGTCTTTGAGTCGTTTTTTGGAAATTTTAAAAATTTATTAGCGTCACTACATATGATGTTCGGGTGAAACTATTTCACTTTTTTTATTGTATAGAATTCAAGATTGCTATTGTTTAATAATCAGAATAGATTGATCTGATTTATTTTACATCGTGCGCATACTGATGAAGGATATCTGTTATCCGAAATATTTATAGTTACATTTGTTCGTTTATTGTCATTTTTTGATAATGTTGTACCCTTTTAGACTAGTTATATATATATATATAAATACTACATACAAATAGTTTCCTGAGGTGAAATTAAAAGTTTTATTACAGATGCAAGTCTAGCCTGGTAATGGACTTCTGCTAAGAATAAATAGACAGCATATATGATTTGAGTAACTTATTAACTAATTGAATAGATTAGATAACAAAAAATACTTAAACAACTATATATTTTTAAATTAGACTGTCAAAACATTTGAACAAGATCTACATCCATATCAATTTGTAAACGCTAACATAAACTGAGGGAATGCAAAAAAAAATGTTTTAAGTAGAACATAACTGTAAACAACAAAATCAAATTCGATAAATAGTTGAGCCTACATAAATGATGCATATGAAGATCTTCTAATGGAGGAATCATATTCTATTTTGTTGTTTGCCTGATCAAGACAGAATTGCTACAATTTTAAGAATGTTTAATTTTCAAAATCTCATATCTATATTTTGGATACTTCTGTTAACATTCTTTGACCTTATATCACAATGTTATTACAAATAGAATAGAGAATGGAATCAAGGAATTGGCCAAAATGAAAAATAAACCGACTAAAGAGAAGAAAACAGCCCAAGGCCACCAATGGGTATTCATCTTATCGAGCTGGCCTCAGCTGGCACTTAAACAATAATGTGTAATAGTTCAGCAAAATGGACACCACACTAACCTCCGAAACATACAATCTGTACATATCAACTGGTAGCATTAGTTTGAATCATTCCGAAGTTTCCTTCTAATGGTAGACAATACAAGTCAATTATATAAACCGACTACACAATGAACTAGATGGAATGTTTAATATTGCCTTTCAAACACATCGGTAGTTTCCTTTGAAATACTGTAAATTCAGATACTATTGCTAGGTTTTTATTAATGCGTATTATACTTACTACCGGGTTTGTACTAACATAAGCAACACGATGGCTGCCACATGTGGAGCAGAATCTGCTTATCCTTCCGGAGCCCCTGAGATCATCTCCAGTTTTTGGTGGGGTTCGTGTTGCTCAGTCTTTAGTTTTATATGTTGTGTTTTGTGTACTATTGTTTGTCTGTTGGTATCTTCCCCTTTTTAGCCGTGGTGTTGTCAGTTTGTTTTCGACTTATGAGTTTGAATGCCCCTCTGGTATCTGTCATCTTTCTTTCTGCGATTGGATGAGTATCACAATAATAAGAACTCGCATTGTGATACTATATACATATAACTGTATTCAGATTTTCCTGAAATCGCAATAATTAATCTCGCATTTTTTTCTCTTCTTCAAAAATCGCAATAATAAATGCACAGAATCATTTATAAATTTACAGTACCTGCCATTCAAAAAAAAAAAAAAAATGTGTGAAAGATATTTGAAATGCAAATGTTCTCTTTCCAGAGCTTTGTATATCTATAAAAGGTACAACTGATTGATGTATAACTTAAAAGAACCAAACAATGACCAAGACGGTATAATCAACTTACCAAATTTAATTTACAACTCAATCTGCATATTGTTATATGAATTGAAAAAAGATGCCAAATATCAAAGAAATTCATGTACCACTATATCTGTTTAGCTTTTCTTGTGGTTCTCAATCTTCAACAAAATTGAGAATGGAAATGGGGAATGTGTCAAAGAGACAACAACCCGACCAAAGAGCAGAAAACAGCCGAAGGCCACCAAATGGGTCTTCATCATAGCGAGAAAATCACGCACCCTAAGGCGTGCTTCAGCTTGCCCCTAAACAAAATTGTGTACTAGTTCAGTGATAATGGACGTCGTACTAAACTCTTAAAAAAATGAACTAAAATTAAAAATCATACAAGACTAACAAAGGCCAGAGGCTCCTGACTTGGGACAGGCGCAAAAATGCGGCAGTGTTAAACATGTTTTGTGAGATCTCAACCCTCCCCCTTTACCTCTAGCCAATATAGAAAAAACAAACACACAGCAATACGCATAGTAAAACTCAGTTGAATCAAGAATTCGTTGTATCTATGTCTGCGGTACACACATTCAGGGAAGATATCATCCATCAACTAGACGTTGTTCAAACAAGAACAGAAAGCTGTTTATCCTTGCAGTTGTTTATATAAAATTCTTTCTCAATTTAATTTTGTACCTGTAAAAATAGAAATAAAAAATAGTTTTCTATAAATGTTGTTTTCCTTAAAAGCAATGATTTGATGTTTTTCAATGTAGATACCTTTATATTCAAATAATAGATGTTCATTTCTCTACTATATGCATGATTTATTTCTTTCGTCAGAAATGTGTATGTCACAAAAAATATCATGTCACTTATTAATTGAAACCCAGTTAATTATTTAAAATATCAACATCTTTAACCTTCATCAGAAAATTCAAAGGGAATAGATGTCTGTATTATATAACGGGATTGATGGTGTAACCAATGGACAACAGAAATATAAATCTGTTTGGAATAATTGTTCATTTGTATACCTTTCTTCTGTCATGGGGTAGCATTCAGGTTACAAGCTTCCAGGTTTTTTCTTCTTTCATTGATATTGAAATCTGTCATATGGAAATGAAAACAAAAGGAAATAAATGAAGTTATTTGTCCTTTTTACTCTTATCAACCACATTTTAAAATATAATGTAACTTATGTTTCTTTTTCAAAACTTTTATTCATCCTATTTTATATTTATAAAACTAACATAAGTTTGAAAATTTTGAAAGTTTTTCCTTTAATTGCAACTTTGGGGGCTAGTTAACGCAACGTAAGATACTTGCCCATAATAAACTTTAAATCTAAAACCAAATGTACCATTAAAATTTTCTTACCCGTGAAAGGTTGGCAATGGTAATATGTTCCAGGCCATATCGTTCTAAGGAAACATTCCTCTTCTAGATTTGACCTGTTGCATTCCTCTAAATTGGGATGTTCAAATTCTAAGGAGCATACACGTTTTGATATGACACTACACATGAACCCAGTATAACCTTCTGTACAGGTCTGTTTCACCAGAGCTTGAAAGTCACTAAAGCAACTCGGAATGCCTCGGTTTTTAAAATAAACTTTGAAAATATCTGCACACCATTGACCTACAGAGTAAACAAATGTGAAACCATTAAGAAGAAAAAACACAAGTTGAAATCATGGCAAAACAATATCTGACAGACAGCAACCAACGACTACCACTGAATTATAGACTGATGAATTTGGGTTTAACATATTCCGAGCGCTCAAACATCAGCTAACAAGGGCAGCGGTGTAATGCAGCAACATAAAGGGTAACAACCAGTACGTTTAGTATGAAAGACAGGCGAAAGATACCAAGGGACATTCAAACAAAAAAAAGTCTATAATAAACTGACAACGCCGTGGATTAAAAATAAAAAAGACAAACAACAGTATAAAAACACAATAATGAATAAAGACAGAGCAACACGAACTCCAACAAAAACTGGGGGTGATCTCATGTGCTTCTGAAAGGTTGGCAGATCAAGCTCAATATGTGGCACCCGTAACAATATGTACAATTCTAGTTATCTTATTGTTTCTTTTTTCAAAATAGTTTACCAAGTCAGGAATATGACAGTTGTTATCCATTCGTTTGATGTGTTTGAGCTTTTGATTTTGCCGTTTGCTTAGGGACTTTCCATTTGGAATTTTCCTTGGACTTCGGTATTTTTGTTATTTTACTTTTTAATATATTCAGGTATACAATTATAACAGTTTAGTTTTTACTTTTTTGTATAATGTTTGAGTATATATGTATACAATTATAACAGTCTAACTGTTAATATTCGCAGAATGGTTAGTAAATTTGTGTACAATTATGATAGTCTAATAACACAGATTTGCTAAAATAAAAGATAGTATATACTGACGAGACATGTAATAGTATTTTTTGCATGAATGACAATAAACATTACTATGTCTTGATATGTTTAAACTCAAAAACAATACAATAGTATAATTACTTACAAATTTTTTTAGAGTAATCGGCTGCTCGACTTCCCAATAATTCTTTATCTTTGACACAGTGCACATCCTTGTCACAGAAGCAAAACGATGGAAGAATGCTTCCATCTGTACATTTCTCGCACACATGACTACCTAAACGTAATACACAATTATTTGGTTATAAAAAGTTTAAAAGATATTTCAAAAGTAGTTCATATTGTTACTCCCTTTGTTCTATTACTAGCCAAGTACAGTCGCAAGGTTTGGGCATCTATGGATGTACAGTATTGTTCACTATTTCAGGTTTATTTATACTTTTAATTTTATTTTCTAAAAAAAAGTCCTTTTTGTTAACTAGAAATAGGCGGGAAAGGGATTTTGCATTAATGATAATGGGTTGGTGCTAAACATCCATTGACAACTATTACATGCTTATCAAGACGAAAACATGTTTATGCAATCTTGCTTTGTACTGGACGTACGCTCTGATTTCGGGTTTATTTTTGAATGATAATGCAGAGGTATGATTCCGGTAAGGCATGCCACTTCACCCGGACATATTTTTTCTGAAGCCGCATGCATAGCAAATTATAATTTTCAAGTCTTAAGTTGTCCCGGCCGGGGATCGAAACACAATCTCCGTCAAAGCAAGGCTACATTTCTGTAGCATTTTTTTTTATTATCTCGGTACTATTAGACTAAAGAAGCGATACCTTTCAGTTACAATAATATTATAATAAGGCCACACCAATTTGATTTGTAGTTCTTCGGACAAAAGCTCCAAAAAATATGGGGCGAGCGAGCGAAATTTTTTTGATTGTATTTATTTCTTGAAAATGAGTTTTTGAGAGGCGAGTGCTCTACAAGTGAAGCGAGCGGTATAATTTTTTTTTTTATTTTGCGATTCAGAATTTATGTACATGTTAAAACTGGGTTACTTCATAGAAAACAAGGAGTAACATGCTCTAATTCATATAATTTGATGTATTGGTGCCTGTACCATACCCGACTTCTTGTCACGCTGTGGTTCAGTTGATTATTTTCGTCAAATAAGCTTTGTCTGCGTGAATTTTCATTTAAATCCATACATGTGTATATATTAAGAAAGCATTGCAGATGCAGTTTAAAAAGATGAATTATGTAAGTAGGATAAATGACATATGTTGAATAAATCAAAATATGTGTATGTTTCCCAAAAAATGCGAATGCACAATATTTTTTGATGTTTTCATTATATGGTAATGATTGTTTATTGGCTGCTTGACATCCAGTTGGAACTATTTATCCATATTTAGGATCAACATAATGAGTGATGTGAATATTTCAACAACATCATGAGCATGATGAGTAAGATAGTTATATTGATATGCATGTAGATCTCAATGTATTAAAATATCCCTTTAAAATACCTGTCACCACATTAACATGGATTATTCTGACTTAGCAAAATATACTCTTTCCTTTTGCTCCAAAAAGCTGCAATGCATTTAAAACTCTTTAACTTGACTAGAAGTGGTTGATAACACATCACAAATTATTATGAGCATGCCAATCCCAATACTACCATGTTGGAACTCTTAAATTTACCCTTACAAAAGAGATCTGCTTGCATGCCAAAAGACTAACAAGGGAATATGGGGTTTCATCAAAATAAGATGATTCTGTGATATTTTGTAAAGTTCATGGGAATTTAATATTAATTTCATTAAAGATAGATATATGTCTATGTCTGTTGAAACGATGATCGGAGATGATGATGGTTCTAACAAATATAGTCCGAGATTACTCTGACGTCCAACGGCTGTTTTGCCAGACAAGCTGGGGCCGTGGTCCCTCGGCACCAGCTTGTCTGGCAAAACAGCCGTTGGACGTCAGAGTAAAAATATTGATGTGATTGTGGTCATCTAACAAAAGATTTTTAATTTTTGCCTCCTAGAACTGGTCTTCAATCAATTAAACGAGATGCATTTTGGATAACAGTGAGTTCAATAACTACTTGTCCATGGCAATGAGCTGACACAACTACATGTTGGCATTCCGATTTTTTACCTTTTATTTACAAATCGATTTATCACACGTGCGTTTGAATCGACAAGAGCAATATATGCACAAGAAAAACGTCTATGTGAAAAAAAAATTTCAAGGAAAAACAAATTTTGGAGCGGCATGCGGCCCAAAAATTTGAGGAAGCGGTAATTATTTTATTTTATTGAAAAGTCAATTTCTCCAAAACAGGAGCAGGAAAATCCAAAGAACTATTAATCAAATTGGTGTGGCCTAATATTAAAAAAAAACTATAAGTGCTTAAACAAAAAAACAAATACAAATATTGTTATGGTAACAGGGTTTAATGTCAATACACTTTGCACTTTATTTTTTCACCGTAATAACTGATCAACTAACAGGATAATGTGGCCTAAAGTTCGACAAGGTAGATAGCACAATTCAAGATCAACTTACAGGATAAACTGACATAAATTTTTACAAGGTAAATGGCACAATGCTAGATCAACTCACAGGATAAAACGACCTAATTTTTACAAGGTAAATGGCACAATGCCAGATTAACTAATAGGATAAACTGACCCAAAGTTCGACAAGGTAAATGGCACAACGCCAGATGAACTGAGAGGATAAACTGACCTAAAGCTTGACAAGGTAAATGGCACAATGCCAGATCAACAAACAGGATACACTGCCCTTAGGTTCAAAAAGGTAAATGGCACAATGTCAGATCAGCTTACAGGATATGGCCTAATATTTGACATGGTAAATGGCACAATGCCAATTCAACTAACAGGATAAAATGACATAAAGTTGGACAAGGTAAATGGCACAATGCCAGATCAACTAGCAGGATAACATCACCATTAAATTCTCGAGGATATATAGCTATTGTGTACAAATTTTAAAAGATGGCAAAATAGAAACGTTCAAGTTGCTGTGATCACGTCTTAAAGGGAATCTACCTTCTAGCCCATTGAACGGGATTCTATTTGTTCTACTTACAGAACATGTTCTCCTTAATGGGACTATATAAAAAGTGCACAGGGTACTCATGGCCGTCTTATAGGCTAATGTAGTATTATTTTTATCGATTTGAAGATTCATATCAAAAGCATACATCTCATAAACAGGTTAAACTCTTTGAGTGTTTTTGTATCTATTAAACCGGTAATTCAGAGTACAGTAAACATCCTGAACATTCAAAAATCATTGAAATAGCCCAAACTCTCTGCCTATTCATTGTTTCAGGTGACATTATAGACTGTCCCAGTTAACTTTAGTTAGAAACGACTGAGGTTGAATTCATAGAAGATCGTCGGAGTTCAACTTGAAACTTAGTAAATAGTTATCAAAGGTACCAGGATTATGATTTAATACGCTAGATGCGCGTTTCGTCTACATAAGACTCATCAGTGACGCTCAGATCAAAATAGTTATAAAGCCAAACCAGTACAAAGTTGAAGAGCATTGAGGACCCAAAATTCAAAAAAGTTGTGCCAAATACGGCTAAGGTAATCTATTCCTGGAATAAGAAAATCCTTAGTTTTTCGAAAAAATCTAAGTTTTGTAAACAGGAAATTTATAAAAATGAACATATAATTGATATGTTCATTACAAAGTGAACTTTTTAAACTTATTACAAATATGATATTGAACCGATTTAAAATTTCACCGAACATGGACGTAAGATATAGCAAGCAGTGCATGGTGTCCTATGAGTGTCTTAATTGGGGTTTCAGAATACAAAATAATTGGTAACAGTGCAAAATGAAGGGCAAAATATATAGAATAGAGAAAAATAGGCCAACAAAGCTATCATAAAGAATAGAGAGAAATATGTCTAAACATAAAAGAATTGAGAATAATGGAGTTCTGATATATGAGGAACATAGAACGAGGGTAAAAATAAATACAAAATAGAGAAAACTGGCCTAATGGCTTAATGAATAAAGAAATGAAGGGCCACATATCACGATCCTCTAATAATGAACCTATATTCTAGATATACTATATGTTTGCCTCACAGGCACTTGTCTCAGAAAAAAAATGTCCTATATACCTTAATATAACACAAGATACTTAACTCGCATTTTTGAAAAATGTCACCCGGTCGCGAAATTCCATTATATATTGATTTCTCGGTTGTCAACCCCACTAAAACTTGTTATGCCGTAAATCTAAATTGATTTATCTACACAATGGTGTATACCACGCATACCTGTGTTGTTGGAATCATTCGTAGCAGTCCTCAGTAAGTATGTCAACCGTAATTATTTCGTCTACCAACACCCGATTGGAAATATAGGACTCGTAGTGAAATGTATTTTTCTCCTCTCTATGTATATCTCGGTGTCCGATTGGTCAAATTTTATGGGAAGGTCTATTGCTAAAAATGAATGTTTCTTGGAGTTATCTCATTTTATATGTTAAGTCCAGAGAGAGTCTGAGAGTACAGTATAAATTGGTAGACGAAATAATTACGGTTGACATACTTGGGGAGGCCTGCTACGAATGATTCCGACAACAATGGTAGGCGCGTTATACACCATTGTGTATATAAATCAATTTAGATTTACGGCATAACAATTTTAGTGGGTTGACAACCGAGAAATCGAAATATAACGGAATTTCGCGACCGGGTGACATTTTTCTAAAAATGCGAGTTAAGTACCTTTTGTTATATTAAAGTATATAGGTTTTTTTCAGAGACAAGAGCCTGTGGTTCGCCTTTCATAAACTTATCCTGAAGTGAAGTTGGTATACCACAATTATTCGTCAAAGTTACTCTATATGTTAATTACTTACTTTCCGATTTCTCTTTACCAATACCACATGTTTTCTTCACGAATTCTGATCCTACAAAATATGGTATGATTGTTCGATAAGAATTTATGTGTTTAAAAGTTTAACCTTTCTATTTATTTTATTTTTTAATAATTATGAATTATTATATAAGAGTTTTTTTTTTAAACTTAATGACCATGGATGAACTCATTACATTTCATTTATGTGATTTACTACCATTAAATTTATAATGCATAAGTTATAAGAAATTCTAAATATCTAATTATATGGTAGACCAATCTAAATTATAATTCTTACCTATTGTACATACTTCTCCATATGCAAATGTATCATTTGGCAGTTTTTTCAAAAAACCTGAAATTTTAAACAATTTTGTTAAATATTCATATTCTACCTTTATTACATGTCAGTGATATTTGAATCCACATGTGCACAGTTTCCAATGTGTGTCAATATGGCATTGCATGTTTTATTCAAAATTCAAATACCTATAGTCAGCTTTGAAAGGCCACGCAATGAAAAATGTGAAACTATGTAAACGAAAAAAACTAACGGCTTAATTTATAACAAATTAATTTACGAAAATCAAAATTATGACAGACATTAACCAACGACAACTACTATACTACATTTTCTGAATAGGGACAGGCATATAAAGAATGTGGCGGGGTCAAACATGTTTGTGAGCGCTCAACCGTCTCCCTAATCTGAAACAGAGGTGTAACAGAACAGCATAGCAACAAACTGCAAAAATCAGTTACAATAGTCTATTTTCCTATTTCCGACTTTTACTCCAGAGTTTATACTATTTCGACAGGTTACCTACTCCTCTTTTGTTGGACATTCTGGTATTGGTCAAGTAAACGCAAAATAAAGAAGTAAAATCAAGATTTCAAATAGTACAATTTTGTGGGGGAAATTAACTGTTTTATGTTTTCTATTCAAGATCAAATAATCAGATAACAGTAAACCTTCCCCCCAAATTGCACCGATTATATGTTTGATTTTAATTCTTTTAGTTGCTCTTACTTAATCAAGTACCAGGGTGTCCTATCACAGATTAACCTGTCGAAAAGTTGTATTATTCGGAATGAGACGTCGGTAATATGAAAAATATTCTATTGGCTTAACTAAAAAGATCGGTACGAGACACAAAAACCACTAACATAAAAAAAAAAGACACACAACGCACATAAATAAGTGTACTCGCAGTTACTGAAAGCTACTTCAGAGTCAACTACAATTAATAAATAAATCTCGTTCGTTGTTTATTCTATCTTGAATCTTAATTATCCTTTATGTGAACAAGAAATAAGTACATCTTTTGAGTTATGTTGTCTGCGTATTTACCAAATATACCCCTAAAAACAGAACTCACCTTCAGATGTTATGTAAAGGCACGTATTTATACCTACAAAAAAAAAAGAGACAGAGATGAAAATTGAACACTTCCGTGTAACTGTTAACAAATATCTTCTTTGCTACATTGTACATACATTTCTTTTTTAAATGTTATTCAGCGAAAACTTTAATTGAATTGTTGTTTGCGTTTAGTGGCGTTACACTTGTTAGTAAAAATTAAATAGACAAACAATTGTGTTTCTGGGATTTATACATGATATACATTTATATATTAATCCTAGTTTGTTCTGAATATTTAGACGAGAAAATCGGTCACTGTGCTAATTTTGTGAGGAAAATAAACACAAAAAACTTACTGCTGTAATTCGTATAAGTAGATTGTGTTTTATTCCTGATGTCCTGTGCATTCTCTTGATTTGTTAGGTTACTCAATGCGTTTACTAATCCTCCCTCGTTTGTAGGACTAGATTTTGTTACATTCCTGATCTCCTCTGCATCCTTTTGATGTCTAAGTTTCCACACTATTCCTATACCACATATCACCACTGTGAACTTTTTAAAAGGTGGGAGAAAAAAACAAAATGTAAGAAAAGTTAGTTTTATCATGTGTATAATGTTAATATCTTGCATTTAAAAATATCTAGGCGAACTAGATTAATATTTGATGGTTTTCTTTTTAGTTTAATACAATGTCTCCTGTTTTAACATATTATCAAATGTTTTGGCCAAACGTACGGGTTAATATTCGTTTGATGTGTTTGAGCTTTTGATTTTGCCATTTGCTTATGGGTTTTCCGTTTAGAATTTTCCTCGTAGTTTGATATTATTGTTATTTTACTTTTTATTTGCATAAAGAATAAAGAAGCAATTGAAACTTACCAAAACTACAAGTAGCACCTGATAAAGAAGATAAGGAAACCTTATTGAAATAACAACGCTTATGTAACTTATGAGCTTGTAAATAATGTTACGAATTACAAGAAAAAGTCAATACATAATAAAGAACTCGTAATGTATTGAGAACATGATGATATAAAACTACAATGTCAATGAAGCGTACAACATAGGTCAGATTGACCTACCTACGTTTTAATAGGTTCTGCTATTATCTTCTTAGTGTCTCTTTACACGAAGTGTAACTAATGCGGGGCAGTTAATATGATATTGAAAATTTTCGAAAATGAATTCAAAATATTATAAAAGCCACGATTCGTCAAATGTTTCATTTTGTTCTTCATGCTATAGTACTACGTCAGAGTTTTCTGTACAGTTTTATATATAGATATATCTGGCGGTCTATTTGTTCTTACAATTATTGAAATTGCAAACTCTAGAGCCAAATAGAAGTGCAAAATATATGGGTAAAATATGTTGTTTGTCTATGCCGAAGGTACTCCAATTGTTCTGATCAACTTTCTTAGGCGATCTTAAATTTATGATACTTGACATTAAGCAAGTAACAATCAATTAATCGTTCAATAAAACATTATCAATCATGGTGTTTCATTCTAACACTTGATTGATCTTTAAACATCATACAGAATTCTTTTTTTAAACGTAAACACTACAATTAAACTTCCTGAGATATAAAGACCTGGAACTTGCTCTTTTAATTAAATAGCGACATTTGTATCGATACTTACAACTTTGTATCTCCTTTTGCAGGGACTTGTATCATTAGGTGTGTCACGGAGAAACACTTGGGTTTCGATAACAGTTGGGTTATCCATTGCCATATATCAAAACCTAAAAATTGCACCATATTTTGAAAATTTATTCATTTTATGATTGTTTCACGTCAATTTTTAGTTGTGATAGTGTCAAGAGAGCTTATTTGTACACGTGTCAAAGGTGATCCTTGTGACCTCGCTAATCCACATATAAGTTTCAAACGGTGTTTTCCAATAAATGGAAGACCCATTTTTTATTAATACAAATATGTTCATATGCATATGTATTATCGAACACTAATTAACGAAAATAATGATGATGCTATCGTTAATAATTAGACAAAATCAACATATCCGGGATGATATTCAATTAGGATATGCTATATATTTTAGTTGTTGATATGATAGGTTTGTTTAAAAGTTTGGATCTGTATTGTTTATTTTGCCTGTGTTAATGAAAGATTTGAACAAAATTAGAAATTACAATTTATTTTGTTGGACCTGATTTTCCATATCAACTTGGTTTTATATTTACAGGGACTCATCATTTCCAATATATATAAGCAAACACATGTAACGACCACTATTCCATAAACTAGTATTACTATATTGGTCAAACTGAAAAAAAGATCGGATGTCAGTTTAGTTATTTACTAATTTGGATATGTCATAGAAGAGGGACGAAAGATACCAGAGGGACAGTCAAACTCATAGATCGAAAACAAACTGACAACGCCATGGCCAAAAATAAAAAGACAAACAGACATATAATAGTACAGATGACACAATATAGAAAACTAAAGACTAAGCAACACGAACCCCACCATAAACTGGGGGTGATCATAGAGTTGTCGCTTGTTTAGACGTACTTATTAGAAATAATTATTTCTGTGACTGTATCTTACGATCCTATACGATAGATGTTTAGCTAATTTGCAATCAATTTCATCTTCATGCCTAATATATCATGTACTGTGTTACAACTCTAGATTCTACTGACGAGAAAAGATAACACTAGGCCTGCGAAAGCTGAATTATTAGTTCAGTCTAGGTGACCGTGTGGTCTAGAGCGCTGGACACATTGCAGGCGGTGTTGTCTCGATATCCCAATAGCGTGAGTTCGAATCCCGGCGAGGAAAGAACAAAAATTTGCTACCGCAAATTTGCAGGTTTAACATTGTTGTGCTGATATTTAGAGTAATAATGAATATAATATGTGTTTTCAGTCGTGTATCACCTTCATTGGTGATCCAATGGATGGATCCGTCATAGAGTTGTTACTTTTTTAGACGTACTTATCAAAATAACTATTTCTGTGACTGTATCTCACGATCCTTTACGATAGATATTTAGCTAATTTGCAATCAATTCCATCTCCATGTGTTACAATTCTAGATTCTTCGCTAGGCCACCGAAAGCTGAATTATTAGTTCAGTCTATCTGTGATTGGCTAACGCATTCCTGAAATTACAACTTATTTTCGATATATAAAATTATATGAATTTTTCATAAGAATCAGTACCTTTGATTGCGTGACAACAATCGCTAGGTACTCTTGTGTCCTGTTAAAAAATGTCCGGTGGTATATTTAAATGTGTCCGATGGTGGGAAAAAGTGTCCATTCAATCGGACATAATTTCATGATAAATTAATTTTAAATTCTGTCCTGTAAAGGTTGATTTTCAATCAGAGGACACTTTTACTGTGAAAAAGTGACATTTTCACAGTTTAAAGTGTCCTTTAAAGGAAGATAATAAAAAAAGTCACTGAAATGTTTTAGCGATATTTATTTTATTTCCGATTACTAAAACAAACCAATTAAGAACCAGTTATAATTCGATATAAACAAAAATGGAAGGTGTTGAATTCCGGTCACAACGCATGTGAAAAGAACAAGAAAGACCAAATGTAGGAAGAACACTATTTATGAGTACTATTTTTGAATATTACATGATTTTGTGAATTGAAATGAATTACGTATGCATGTATTTATATTCACATAGTTCATAAATTAAGTTCTATTAAATATATTACTGTGTGTTTATAAGTACATGTTTAATTGTATGAATTATGTTTAATAAGCCATGGTGATGATCACATTTTGTAAGCAAAAAAATAAAACATCTTTTCAAGACGTCATACTTATTTGGATTTGGACTAACATTTTGTATGCATTTAATACTCCAGTTTACATACCATGTTTTAATAGAGACAAAACCCCCATGTTAATTTCAAAACTTCAATTAGATAAAGAACTGAAGCTTGTGTACATTTTGTAGGTATTGAGGGTGGACACTTTATCCCATGAAATACTGTCCTTTCTTTAAAGAACAATTTTTCATACGAAATATTGTCCTTTCTTTGAAGGACACTTTTTCACATATGTGGACACGATTTCATAGGTAAATATTAAAAAATAAATTTCATTTCTTCAAAAAATCCAATATTCATTACGGCAAGAGCTTCACATGACAACGTCTTTACAAAGAACGAAAAGTTTGAAATAACTCGTTATTTCATGGTTGTCGCATATCAACACTATAAAACCCCACTAAGATTACAAAACGAAGCATTCAGTTGTTAAATAAAGTGCAGCATCTATGTATGTTCGTGCCATTCGGAACAACATCAAAACAATAAATAAGAAAAGCAAACGAAATGTAATCTATTACAGAATGAATTTTACATTTGCTAATTTCTTTTTTGCCTAAAAAAATTAGAACTCATAGTAGCTTTGTGTAGTGTATGAAACTTCATATCGTTTTCAAATGTTTTCAAATATGTATTTGAAAAATAATGTTTAAGCAAAATTATCTAGCTTTAATATCATGCAAGATTGCTGTATACTTTGCCATGTAATATAGATGTTCAGTTTAGTCTGCTAGTGTACAGTGTCTTTGCGTTCATGTCAATCAAGTGTACAAAGCTATTATAAATGTATTGTGACTTCATGTTCAACAAATACAAAAGGTTGAAAGTAATTTCAAGTCCTTAAAAGTTTGGGCATTTAAGATATAATAGAGATTTCCAATAAAATGACATTACTCGACATAACCAACCTATCTGACCGAATCTCGGCCTATTGCATTGAAGGATGACGTAGGGGAGCATAGACTGCATGAATGTTTAGCTCGTTGGAATAGATGCTATTTAAAAATTAATGATTTATTCGGTAAAATGAATTCGGTGACCCCTTATTAATTATTTATCAATAAAATGGATAAAATACTATAAGTTAATTTTCTTCAAGGGATATAAAAAAAATTGTTTGGAAATGTTTTTTGTATTTGGACTATAAACGATAGCATTCCCGTTAAACAAAACAATACAGAACAATCCCTAATCGAACACACCTTCTAAAAAACAACCTATATAGGGATATTTTTATCAATACATTTTATTATAATTGAAAAATAATTTTGTTTAGAAATTAAATGGAAGCGATAGTTTTATCTCAATTTTCAACTTTTACAAAGAGACAGATTCTAACAAACTCTGGTTTCGATATTTCTGTAATTGACAGAAAAATATCCTTCTAATTATTTTCTCCGCAACAAATATAATAAAAGATAGATAAAGAAAGACAGAAAAAAGTATAATGGGGCGTTCATCTGCAAAGTATATTAACAAATAATTGTCATAATCAAAACCATGAAAGATAACTCAAATCGTACGTATTATAGGTATGGGATACGTGTGTTTATACGTGATCTTATGGCAGTTAACCTAAAGGCGGGAATCTGGAAAAGCACGTGATAATTAAAAATGCAAGATTTCTATCATTTTTCGTCATGATAAGATCATTCTATATGAACGAAAATTCCAGTGTCTGATTTTAAAGTCTTGGAATACTTTGTTTAAACTTGAGCGACGTATTTATTCAAATTCAATGGTTGGCAATAGCCAGTTCAATTAGGTCCGTACGTCGAATTACGTACGTATGTCATTTTATTGGAAATCTCTAATAGGGGGTGTTGCTCTTATTTGACCTTAATAGTTTTACGAATAATCGGTAGGTTATGCTTTATTACATTTATTCAAGCTGTACCTCTGGTGCTCTTAAATATCATAGTCTAAAATTGAATTCACGTTACATCGGAAACCTGATGGCACATTTCAGAAAGGACACCGTTCACACAGTGTGATTTTACTTTAAGCAGCACTTGTTACAATAAAGTTATCTACATAATTTTTTTTTTTTATAATTTATATTTTTTTATTCATGACTGATTGACATGGATTTACTTATATTATCTATAGTGGCACATAATAAAGAAAGCAAGATAAATAAGCATAATCAAGCAAAAGAAAGTAAAAAAAAATAGTAATAATAATACGATACGACAGAATACAATATATATTAAAGGACGAAGTATAACATTTTCATAAAAAATATAGTGATAATTGTAATTACATTTCAAGCACATTTATACATTATAATTGATTATTAAATCTAATTAATGACTTTATCCCAGGGGTTCCAGTACATGTTATATTCTTTTGCACTCATATTTTTTGAGGGAATATGCTTTTCTAAAATTAAATTTTCTTTGATATAGTTTTTAAGTCCCTCTATATGAGGTTTTTCCTCCTGCATCTTAGATCTGTAGATGAAATACTTTGCTAGTAAAATGACTTTATTTTTTATACAATTTGGTTTATAGTTATCATAAAGGCCAAACATGACTATATCCACATTCAGTGGAATTTCAATATGTGTTGCTTCAAAAATCCAAGCATTCAGATGGTGCCAAATGTCTGCTACAATATGACAGCCCCACAATTAGTGTTCTATGCTTTCTGGTTCTTCCTTGCAAAATGTACATAAATTACATTGTACAAGGTTCATTTTTAAAAGTAAAGTATTACCTAAAATACGGTGAATAATTCGGTATTAAAATCAACAGAGCTTGGTATTTTTTGAAAATACAGTGACACAATTATATACTTTTTCCAATGACCAACAACTTTATTTAATATACTCTCCCATTTTCGCTCAGCTGCAATTACAACTGGTATTGTACCTTTTTTAATTCCATAAAATTGTAAAAATGTGGGTATAAAAGTATA